GCTGTTCTGAGTAGTGCCATAAACCGGAACATTGAGTTACATGTAATAGTAAACAGTAAATTGATTGAAATGGTGAATGAATTGATTGTATCAGACATGTTAATGAATATAAGGACAGATTCTGTTTCTATTGTTTATATTTTTTTTGTAGCTAACAAGACGGACAGGACAAGGACTTTGATGACAGATGGTAACAGAGAAGGAATTGAATTGTGATTGTTATTATGCATTATAATGATGATACAGTTTGTGATGATAATGATTGAAAATGTTTTCACACAGATGATGTGATTTAATTTTTGTTATAATGGTTGTAAATGTTTTTCACATAGATGTTATGATACACATTTTTTTGATGATAATGATTGTAAATATATTTTACATAGTCAGATGATACTTTAATTGAAAGGGAAAAGCTATTACTTTATGTAAGAAAATGATGGGAAATTAACACCACTAAAACTAAGCGAATATGGTCGAGCTCCTAGATGAGAGAACATGAAGATTTTATTAAGACGAATGCCAGTGGGAGTGGCTCAGTGAGTACGTATAGTGAGGGTGGGACTTTGCGGGCTTAGCATTTCTGTTCCAAAGCGGTTATGCACGTCAGTACCTAATTAGGGGGTGCCTGGTGTGTTATTCTGTCTTAAGGAAGACTGTTAGATGGTATGGGAAATGCTTAGAGCCAATATGATCTTCCACATTTTAAAGGAGGGTCTGGGGTGTTGATCCCATTAAGCTTTATGGTGCTCACTAGGTACAACGACTGGTGATGTTGCGTGGGAAAAACATGTTAAACCCTGACTGACTGACTTACTTTCTACCCCACCAGGACATCACGCAAGCGATAAACACCCGATGACACAAAGTGCCACCATGTGGATGAGGATCGCCGTGGAGAGGTCCCAGAAACCGCGTTCATACAATTGGCCATATTTATGGCCTGCCTATATTGCGGCCCCTGGCAAAAGCCAGAGTGGCGTTTCAAATATAAAAAAAATGTTGTCCTGAAAAGGACGAAGCTGGATAGTACCAAGTCATTTGTTGAACCCAGGTAAAGGGAAGCGATAACCGACACCCAGAATGTATAGTAGGTAATATTCACATAATTACATGAAAGTGATCCCGAACCTGTTAAATAAAACCTGAAAAGAAAACCAAAAATTTAAACTCTTTTGTAAAAAATATGGTTGGGGGGAGAGTTGAAATAAGGCGAATTCACAGGAAAACCCCAGAGAGTTCCCAACTGAGGGGACAAGGTCAGAGGGCAAGAGAAACAAGAGAAAAGGGAGAAAAGCATGTCTCAATTATCCTGTGCTCTGTGAATACGGGCTACGGAAAAGGATGGGATTGGAACTGAAGGTGTGAACGGAGAGAAGAGATAAATTACATGTGTTATGACCGTGTGCGAGGTAGGTTGTCGATGATGCGACTGAGGTGAACGTCAATGTGGACAGCGACTGGAAAGCTCTAGTGCCTGAGGAGAAATGATTCTGAACGACAAAGTCAAGTGTTCTAATGAACATTTGTGTAAGGATGATTCAGATGCCAATACCATAGCAAATGGAACGTTCTGACTAGCAGGTAAATGCAACTATGTTTAACTGTCATCCTGTCTCGGGAGGCTGTCGTGAGCCCATGTCAACGACTAGAGAAATGGTGGACATCGACTGAATGATTTATTGTTGTGCCACAATAAACGGTATCAACAATATCGTCGTGTTTTGGATGTAGGTTCATGTGTCCAGACTTTACTGCTTGACTGACGCACGCAAAAGTCAAACAAGTAGCATGAGCCATAACTAGCATTGGTGCAACAAGACACGTATGGAAGCCACCGCAATGTGGCGACCTGACTCTTACCTCCGGATAACAGGGTATCATGAAAAGTCCTGGGAAGTAAACGCCGCCGGCTCGATGTTGATCGCCGCACCCACAGAGTGTCTTTTTGTGTGTAAAATGTATGCCCAGCTCTATATGCCCAATACACGTAAGCCCGTGGAAAACGGTTCTTTACTTTACTAAAAGTCAGAGGTCTTGGTGTCGAAACCCATCGCGGCGGCTTTTTGTAATTGACCTCAGACTAACAAATAGACTCCAATGACCTAATTTTGACTCAGTTACTCGCCCTTAAAGCCAGTATAGCTTCATATACCTGACGTTCCAGTGACGTAAAGTAATCCTTTATTTACACTAGACAACAACCACAACGCACCAATAACTAAAAAAGCTGATCCTAATGTGTCTGTGCTGAAATAAAACATAACATCAAAAAATTTCGATTGGCTCTAGCTTTTTAATATCTACGCTACTAGTTTGCTTAATTAGGGACCAAACTATGCATATGACGTAACTGTTGTGGCAGGTTTTATAATATTTGTCAGATGACCAATAAAAGTGTAACCAGAGGTTAATGATGCAGTCTGCCTATAATCACTTCACATTTGTGCATACATGTCTTATTTCTGACAAAATTTTGCCATTATTTGCTAGTGTCTTTGTCGTTATTAATAGTATTCTGGTTAGAAATGCACGGGGTGCGTCAACAGCGCTGATAACTTCTGTTATGTATGTGGTGAGGTGGCTTTTCTTTTACAAAAACAAAATATGACTAAAGCGATTAAAATGGCATGCAATTTGTATTCTGGCTGCAGAGTAGGAGATCAAGATAGGAGCTGGGCGCCACACACATGCTGCTATTCATGTGTAGCAAATCTTAAACTGTGGTTGACTGACAAAAAGCAAGCTATGTGTTTTGCAATCCTAATCATTTGAAAAGACCCCACTAATCATCTCAACGACTTTTACTTTTTCATGGTCTCTCAAACTGCGAAAGGCAAATCGAAGAAAAAGAAATGGTCTCTGGAGTATCATAACATTCCTTCTGGAATACGTCAGGTACCGCATGGCGATGAACTACCAGTTCTTAAAGTGCCCGGATTTTTTTTTCCAGCCTCTACCACTGAAAAGGCCATGGTGACTTTGAACCACAAATCCCAAACGACCCAGATGTCGAGCAAACTATAAACACTTAACCAGCCTTAATAACCTAAAGTATACTGAATATCATTTGATTCACGATAATTCACGCCCAGGTGATCTGACTATCTATACAGTTGGTTGTTGTTTGTTTTAGTATCCAGAAGCCATGAGTTGTTAACCCTTAGGCTCGGTATTATGGATATCGCAACCTTTCGGCCTTGATTCCATTTTAAATACCGTAAATCTGGGAGAAATGTGGCTTTTCTGCCCACCCCCGGGAGTGAACCCGGACCACAAGGAGTTCGTCACCCGCTCACCGCGAAATCCGGTTTAGCCAACTTCGCTAGAGAGACGGGCATACAGTTGGTTATGTGTTGAGAGAAAAGAGAAGTACTTGGGGGTTTGTAGCGAAAGCAAATAGAAAATCTTTAGTGCAAGACAGCTCAACATTTGACACCACAACATCTAGCATGAGAATGGAGGTGAAGGCGGCAACTGTAGCGCTCCATTAGCTAGAGAACAAGATGCATACACATGTGATAATTGTAACAGGCTCTGAAGGCATGCTGAGAAAGGTGAAGACAGGGATGCTTCGAGCAGTGTGGCAAGCTTCACTGGGAAAGTCATGGATAGTAAGCATACTTTGGATCTTTTCTCCAGGCTATGCTGGCGTAGTGGGTAATGAACAGTGAGACAGATTGGCTAGATCTGCACCATTGGGTGGTGAACTGATACATGACAAGGCAGATGTTGCCAAGGCCCTTTGGGAACAAGCAACAGAATCAGTACAGAAAGAGAATTATAATGGCCTGGAGAGAACGAGGCATTTTGGTGTAACCAGAGAGGCTGGCCGGCTCACTACACTCGGAAGAAAGGCACGACTGACTGATGACCAGATTGTGACTGGTACCACCAGTACTGGAACTCTGCGCTGGCTGCTGAAGATGAGGACAGAGCACGCATGGGAAAACCTCGAGTGCTGTGATGTCATTTCTTGACTCCGCCCAACGCATTTAAAGTCTGTAAACTACGATCATCATCATTAGTCACTTTGCAGCGATTAAAAAATGGTCGCCTATTTCTTTGACTACACGGTGGATATAATAAGTACCGTCACTTTCTCTGTGATTGGTATAGCTGTTCGCAACATACCCATTACATCAGAACATTGACCAATACGGCGTTTATTTTAGCCTGGCAGTAAGTACGTCGAAAGCTTGTTGTCACCAGCAGGATTTTGTTGCCAACCTTGCAAATTAAACTAGTGAAAAAAAATTGTCAGGCCACGGAGAAAACAGAAGATGCTTTCAAACATCTCATCAGAAAATTCCCAAGACTATGTGAAGATAAAATAAGAGAGGGAGTATTTCTTGGTTCGCAAATTTAATAACTTTTTTTTACAAAAAACAGTTTTTTTTTTTCGGTGCGTGTTGCCTGGCAAGGAAAACACAGCATGGCTTGCAGTAAGTCAGTGGTAGACAATTTTCTTGGAAACATCAGATCTGATAAATACAGTGAGAGACTTTGTTGCAACATGTCTTTGGAAATTCATTTTCTTCATTCTCATCTGGATTTGTTTACGTCAAACAAACAGTGGTGCTGCCAGTGGTAAGCATGGTGATCGATTTTATCAGGACATTGCTGCTAATATTACAAGACAGTTTGAGCCCTTCAATGCTTTCTGATTGATTACTGCAGGACTGTGACAAGTGGCATCTCATCGATTGACTACAAAAAGAAAGCAAAGAGAGCCCGAACAGCGCCTGAATAATGACGGAAAAGGTTCAAAAGTTTCTCTTTGAAACGCTATATGTGAACTCTAAATGTTTTTTTTTTTAATTTTTTTTTATTTCTGTAATTTTATGCTGAAATATCTATTAACTGAATTTGCAACAACAGTTTTCATAAAGCTAAAATAGAAAGACAAACTGTTCGCTCCAGGGATTTAAAACAAAAAGCATACTGTCATGTAAAATAATCAATCAAAGAGAAAACTAGAGCCAGTGGTTAATTTCATGATGATATTTGAAATCAGCAGGTCAAAATCAATCAGAAATGATTTATATAAATTCTGGTATAGAAAAAATTTTTCAAAATGTGTTGACCAGTGTTATTTTACATGTTTCAGATGGCCTGTCATTCAACAAGAGACACTGCTTTCATTCGACCCAAAACTGATGAATCTGCCTTTGAAAAACGTCAGAATTGGTGGTTACCTACAATCATATTGCTATTTCGCACAAATTATAGACGAAATAAGACAGGAATTTACCTTCCAGGACCAAGTTTCTGCTGCTGCTGCCAAGATTCTCCATGACGTTTATATAAAGTATAACTCTTCAATGGTTGTTGGAGTTCATGCTCGACGTGGCGACTTTCTTGAGAAATCTTGGCAAGATTTAGGTTTCAGAATTCCCCAGAAGTCCTATTTCATGAAAGCTTTTAGCTTGATGAAATCAAAGTTCCCAGGAAGAAAGATTGTATTTATAGTTGCCAGTAATGATTATAAGTGGTGTCGTGAGAATCTGGTGAGTGATGATGTTATTCTTATGCAACCTGAGACACCTGCTGTCCATTTAGCCGTCTTATCCAGGTGTGAACACGTTATAATGTCGTGCGGTACTTTTGGATGGTGGGCTGCATGGCTGGCTAATGGTCAAGTTATTTACTACACAAATTTCTTTGGAAATGGTTCCCTACAACAAAAAGTGAAAGTAAATCAGTACTACCCGCCATTATGGATAGGGCTCGATGACTGACATGCTTTGTGTGTTCAGAAAACAGTCAGTTTTTATTTCTTTTTGAATCTGTAAATACAAATTATAGTAATCTTATCATAGTCAGACTGTCTGATTAATCTAATTTAATCTATCTATCTATAAATGCATGTATAATTACAGCAGTTCCAAGCACTGTGGTTAAGAATTAGACGTGGATTGAAGTTATTATTATTAAAAAAAAAAAAAAATATGCAAACTGAAATGTGGGTGAAATGTACATGGGAATGTAAGACGGACCTGCGTGCCCAGTTACCAACCCTTTAAAATAAATGTTTCTATCTATCTGTCTGTCTATCTATCTACTCTGTCTATCTATCTATCTATCTATTTCCAGGACTAAGTGAAGCTAAAATAAGAGGGGGTGTAATTGTTGGTTCGCGAATTCGATATTTTTCAGAATGAAAAGTTTTTTTTTTTTTTGGGGGGGGGGGGGGGGGGGGGGGGGGTAATTGACTCAGACTCAAAAGGTGGCTGACGTGTCCACGCGGTCTCGCGGTCTCTTCATTCTTGATTGTTTTATGAGACAACAGCTTATGAACAACATGGATTTATATATCACTGTGATCGCTGTGTTTTTTACTAAACAGAAAGTGAAATTGTTTAAAAATCTTTTTACACGTTCGTTTTCATGGAATTACTACATAGAATTGAACAATAACTTAACCATGGAAGCAAATGTGATTCTCTAAGACCAATCGGTGCTACGGACGGATCAAACAAACCAATCGCTACGTAGTTGTTAAAAATGTGTCGTGACCCATGTGTGTTTGTGGCTGTTTGCGGCGCATCAGTGAATGCTTGACACAGGTGTACACCTGCAGTTATATTCGACGAGGAGAGTTTAACCGTCGAAGTAACAAAAACGGGGCGTATTGTCTTAAGGCCTGTGGTCAGTAGGAACTATGCGCTCAACAAAGAGAAAGAAAATGTCTAATTGACACAGGGATACTAATTAAACATTCAAATGATGGAAAAAAAATTTCCATCTGCTTTAATAATACCATTCAATATGAATCCTTTCGATCTTGCCTACTGAAAAACTATCAAACCAAAAACATTGAACACAGGACGGACAGACAAGGTGAGCACATAGAGGCGAAAATATCGTCGCCAACATTTACAATACATTTGTACCACACACAGAATAAGCTGCTGGTCCAAGGTAATGTACATGCTTTGGAGACATGGTTGGGGAAGGAGTTTATTGAGCTTCAGTTAACAGCTCAGTCCTTGATACACGTGGAGTCTCTAAATTCACCCCATAATCTCCGCGTACCTATTTTAACTGAAACCGTCACTCCTGCTCAGCCAACACTTCTGACGATAACCAGCACCTCTGCCATCAGTCCTCAGATAGCAGAGGCAATTATTCACACGAGTTGGAACATGGAATCATTAGCTACAGGTCGACCAGCTCTGCTAGCTTTTGAGTACTCATTAGAGTGTTTGCAAGAGAGTCGAGACTCTCAAATCAATAATACAATAAATCTACACACAGACCTAGCGGACACGCCATCTAACATTCATTCTACATGTGACTGCCAGCGTCGCATTGAAGTAATGGAGACTAGCCTAAAAACACTTACTGAACTGTCTTAGCAAGTATTAAAAACAGTCATCTACATAGAGACTACGACTCACTCAGGGCAGAAATACAGCTTCTGAAAAGGGGAAATCAAAACGTAAAAGATTTGTGTTGGAACTAAGCAGCGTGTGCCTGTTGCTGACACTGTGACACAAATTGATGTCCCCACAAACTTCCTCAAATCAGCGACAGAAAGGCAAACAACAACCGAATGAACAGAAACATGGTGAGCAAGCTCCACAGTATCCCATTGACGTCAAGATAACAAACAGGTTTGATGCGCTGCTGGAGCGGTTAGTCGACAGTAGACCACCGGCTGAGATATTGCCATCATGCACTCAATGCCTAAAAGTTACATCGGAAGAAGTGCACAAAGATGTACAGACGGAACGTCAACAATGGAAGATGCAGAGGGCGAAACGCGCCGGCTACCAAACTACACACACGTTAAGGCCAGACTCCACACACCTCATAATTGGTGACTCACTCCTGAAAGTTGTATATAGTCAACTGATTATTACATCAGACACATTTTTAGTTTCTTTTGTTCCATAGCCAGGTGCAGGGGTGGAGAGACTTATAGATAAAATAAAGGGACTGGGCATAAACAACAACATCCAGAAAGTGACAGTTCACGTAGGGATAAACGACACAATGAACAATACATCACAGATTTCCAGCTGCGGTCGCTACGGAATTCATTGTATCGTATATATCCTTCATCTACTTTACTGTTTACTTCTATTCTCTTGCCGATGTTCGGCCAGCAGCGTCGACTGGCTGTCAGAAACAATTAGGTTCTAGAGAACTTTTGTAATCAAGATACATTCCTACTAGACTTGCTCAATTCACCTCTCGACCACGTTTATCAACTACCTGATCCAGATGACGCTCTGGAATATTGAATAAAGACCTTCTTCTGCAAATTTGATAAACATGTGCCAGTTAAGGAGGTCCGTGTGAAACAGACTAAATTACCATAGATCGCCCAGGAAGTAGTTGAAATTATGAGACAGAGAGATACGGCACATACAAATTAAGATTTAATCACATACCGGAGTCTGCGAAACAAAGTCCTTTATGCCAATTGTAAGCAAAAAAAAAAAAGAACTTTTTTTAAAAGCTCATAGTAGATAAAACAAACACCAAAGATATATGGAAGGCGTTTGTTGACTTCTAACATAAGATCTGATGATTTCAGTAATTTCTTTCAAGCCGATATAGAAAAGCTGAAAGCCACAATACCAAACTGTCCTTGTGATTTATCCCTACTTTCATCATTTTGCGGAAATAAATATTTTGAAGAAATTTCTTTTGGCATAGCTCTTATGTCAGTTGCTAAAGTATTTGTACATCTAAACAGTTTCAACAACTTTAATACATCCGGTTTAGACGAAATCAGTAATAGGGTCCTTCGCAGTGCCGCACCAGTTATTTGTATGTCTTTGAATTGTATTTATTTTCAATTTCTTGTTAAAGGTTACTTCCCATCAGCATATGCGCGGCTGTGTGTGTGTCTTCAATCGAGCAACAAACAAAAATGAACTAATATCCTCTTCACTACAGACTGCGTGGAATCGTTTACTTGCACTTTAAAGTGTTCCTTGAACAAACCTTGCGTGTTGATAAGTAAAAATTAAAAAGTTCCCTTTTCACGCCTTTCGGCGCATCGGGCATATGGGCAGAGCGTCCCATATTTTTACAGACCATCAGCACTTTGTGGGTAATGTGGTCAGCATTACGCCGGCTGTCTTTACTTTCCAAGGACAGCCCATCCTGGTACCCATTTTAGGCTGGGTCGACCTGCCACGTCCATTTACCACGACAAAAATCCACGCAGCCTGCAGTGGCTTTCGATCGCGGTATGCTGGCTTACGAGTCGGACTCGCAACGCCTTAGCCACGGACACCGCTTGCGTGTTCATAGAGAGAATTATTTATCTTTCTTTAGATAAAGCATTAATTAACACAGTGCTGCTAGAGTGGGTTATTTATGTTTCTGTAGATAATAAAGACGTAAACTACTTCAGTGCTCATACTATGGGGTATTTTTCTCTCCATAGATAATCAAGACATACACTCCTACTGTGCTGATAGAGTGATTTATTTATCTTTGTGTAGATGATAGAGCCATAGACTGTTATGGGCGCATCAGGCATATGGGAAAATCACCCATACTTTTACATACTTTTTTGCAATAGGTGGCTAATGTCAGCATTACGCCGGCCGTCTTTACTTCCCCAAGACACACATCCTGGTACCCATTGTAGGCTGGGACGACCTGTAACGCCGCATACCCCGATAAATCCATGCAGCCAGCAGTGGGTTTTGATCGCGGTACGTTGAAGTTACGAGTCGGGCTCGCATACCTAAGCCACGGATGCCGGTACACATAGATGCTGACGTAAAGCTCAACTTCACGAACAAGACTAAAATCCATCAGTTGATTATGAACCAGAACTCTACGCGGGAGTTTCCAGTCGGTGAACGCGTACAGGAAGAAAATGCAATCATTCCACTGAAACACTCTTTACTGACAATTTTCTGTGAATACATTTGAGTATGCAATTCTATGGTCCAGAAATGTGCCTGAATTTTTATTTTTATTTTTTTTAAAATTTTTTTAGTGGATGAAAAGAAAGTCGACAATATAATTTTACCAGATTTTAATTGCTTGGATACAATTGCAAGTAAAAGCGCAAAATTCAAGATTCATGTTACGGACAGTATACAAAAGTATAGTGAAGGGGTAAAGACAGACAACGATTAAGTGATACCCACACAAATACACACACATACACACGCATATATATATATACACACGTGAGCTCTCTTGAAAGTTGACCGTCTCTCAATGTTGGCTACCTCTATACGTTAACGTTATTTTTTTCACCAATTGTACCGTCACCACATATTCGCAGTGGCACACTGTCTCTAAATACTGACCAGCTCTGTCAGCTGTTATGTAGGTTTTTGTAAGGAGAAAGGGTTACACTTCCACAGAGAACCCTAACTTCTGCTGGAAGAAGCTTTGACCGGAGAGCGTTGTCGATTTGTGACTTTGAGGGGTTCGAGATAGTACCTGTGGAACGTGTAGTCAATGAGATTGTGTCTTTGGCCAATATCATGGGATTGTAGGTGGATAACAGTGATATCTAAGAGCTTGTGGAAGAGCACAGCCAAGAGCTGACCACACAAGAGCTTATGGAGTTGCATTGTGTTTCACAGCCAGAAGTTTTGGAGAAACGTTTGTCAGAGGAGGAGGAGGAGGTAACAGAAAAGCAACAATCTTCTGGCGAAATAAGAGAAATGCTGAAAGAATGGCAAACTGTTGTATCTTACATTGAGAAGAATCCCCCCTAATAAGGAAGTGGCTATGCGCGTTGCAAATTTTT